ACTCGCCTCCGCTTCAAGGCACATCCAGTCCGCTCACCTTCATTTTCTTTCCTATTTATCTGTCGCTCTTGAGCTCCACAAACTTTTTAAACCAGTCGCTGCAGTTGCGAACCTTTGCCTCTTGCCACCAGAACCATTCAGAACACAGACAAATTAAGATGATGGCAAGGATACCAGTAACCAGCTCAATTCCATGGTTAAGGTACGCTATTTTCCAAGGCATGTTTTTCCGCCTCTTCCTTGTTCCAATCGGTTTTCAAACAGTTCTTGTTCAGTATAGATCATTCGCAGAGAAAAGAACTAACAGAAAACACGCAAAAGTAAAGCAGTGTAAAACATTTGCGGACGAATGTGCACCAGGTGCGCCTTCTACAATAGAAAATAGGGCGCTTGCGGACGAAAAATCGAGCAGATTGTCTCAGGTGACAGTATAAGGAGGCAGCAGTTGCCATACCTTCACTTAGCTCAAAGCATGCATAATCGTTAGGTAAGGATTTGAGGAGGAAGGGCATGCATAATCGTTAGGTAATTTGACGAGTATTGATATGGAAAGAAAGGAGAGTGGGGGGGGGGACGAAATTGGAAGGGTTTCTTTTAAAGTATTAAAATAGGCACTGTGACACCGCCACCCTTCATCCTGAGCCGAACACGACTGGTCATGAACAGTAGTATTCACTAGATTATAAAGCTAGTGCGGTCGCTCTACCCGCATGTCCCCTTCACCAAGGAAAAGCTCTACCATACTGCGGCTCCCACTGACATCACAACACCTCATATCTTGTGGGGTCACGCACGCTTAGAGTCTACCTGCGTCAGAGGCACGTTCATACTTCATAGCATAAACGGGCATGTCACGTCTAGGGGATTTTGGTCCATTCTGTGCGAAACCCCCTAAAAGGTGGCTCGGTACGACGCTTGATACCATCCCTCCCCATTTTCCCTCCTCTGAAACGATAGAGCTGTCGAGCGGGGGGGGGGGGGTGTATAGCACATGTGAGATGCCAGTTCCCCATCCTACCACTTCCTCCGATTCTCCCAACTTCCTACCACTTCCTTAGGTTCTCCCAAATTCCTATCACTTTTTTTCCCGGAAGTTCTCGATAATCTCCCAAAAGCTTGCTTAGAAGGGTCTCTCCCACAACGAGCGAACATGACCACCTCCCCTCTATAGTGTCCGTAAAATTAGAAAAACCAGCAAACACGCGTCCGTAAAACCAGAAAAACCAACTAACAAAAAAAAATGAAAAATTTCTCGGACCGAATACGACCCCTCGCCTGTTGCGAAACCCCCAGCGACAGTGAGCCCTGTAAGAGAATAGCGCGGGATCAGGTGCGCTTCACTACTCATCGGTAAACCGCTGCAATCATATGAGCACAAAAATCGCTACAACCGTTTTTTGTGTTCACATACGGGAGAAGGGCAAGAGAATCGTAATTTACCGTTCTGCTGCGCGGCGACGGCGCGGTGTTTCCCTAGAACTTGTTAACCTATCGATTGGAGCGCTGGTTCTTACGTGGGCTACGAAACCGTAGACATTTATGACTATGTTCGGTTCTATATGCCTGTTGTCGCCATCTGGGACCTAAAACCATCGTCATTTGCGGGCGCGACGTCGCACGCGACGCCCATCAGCGCGGCGAATTACGATTCTCTTGTCACGTATCCTTCACATACATGGCTACATCCGGGATAATATTGCGTGATTGGTCGAGAAAACAATTCCAAAAGGATGCATCGAAATCAATGCAACCTTTTGGATTGGTTGCATCCTGCTAACCACGTGTTCAGAATGGCAAATAAAAAAAAGAGAACTCGAAAAGACACGAAGAAAGTGGCAGCTAACATCTCTCAAAACCGGTACATTAAAGCGGCAAGCCAGAGCCTACATTTCCAAAATTGAAATATAATCACTTAGGAGAAGTTTTATTTTCTTTTCAAACGTACTCATCTACTTTTAAGGACTTCGTCTCAAACTATCTTTTTCCTCTATGGGAAGCAGCTTTTCGCCGAGAAAATTCTTGCAAAACATAAAACTAATCGAAGTGATTTCAGTCAAATTCTGAACTATCAAACAGATGACGCATCAAATCAAAAATTCATAAGCAAATCATAAAAGTCAATAAATCATTTCATGGTAAGTGTAATTAAACAATGAAAAATGGACATATATACCCCATAAAGGATCATATCGGACTAGACGGACACCATGTCCACACGTATCATCCATAGGAAAAGCAAGAACATCTCAGAAAAACACATCGCATTTCAGTTAATCAAAAACAAATCATAACAAATCACACACACTTATATGTATAGCAAATCTGGACTAAACCTGACTCAAAAAAACAAAGAAATGAAGTAAACAAGTAAATAAATTAGTTCTCAGAGTATTAGACATCTACAAGCATAAAGAGACTGATAGACGAGAAGAAAGCAAGAATGGAAGGTAGAAAAACGGCAGACTATTGCCACCTATAGCATAATATTTGATGGCACTGTCCAGTGGCATCAACCACAGAATTTCTTTCAAACACGTGAATAAAAAATGTCAATAAAATGGATCGATGAAAGGCCGCCTGATAAACGCACACGACTCCCGTTTCACCGCTTGACAATATGGAAATATTATAAAATGACAAAGTATAAAGTACTCCAAAGTGTGAATAAGTCAATGTTAGGGTTCTTAAGACTAAAAAAAGTGTTAAGAGGGTCATGAAAGATTGCAAAGAAATCTTTGGTGCTGTTCTTTAGTACCAACAAAGTTGATGCAGTACAGTCTTGTCCGCATCGGACGAAAGGGCGTGTCAGACGGCATGGTTTTGGCGCGGCGCCAAACCGGCTGATCTACCATTACAGCCAGATCGCAGTCCTCAGACTGTGTTCATGCACAAAGGAGAATTTCAGATTCTGAAGAATCATGGAATCCGCGGGAAAAGGATCTATACCTATCGACTAGGAGAACCCTATAAATCGTGGAATTAGCGATTTCGGAAAAAAGACTAGGCAGGAATTGATTAGCTTCGCTTCGTAATTTTTGAGTAAGCAAAATTCAGTTAATTGAATATACATTTCTGAGAATTCCGAGATTCTTCAGACTCGGCCTCAGAAATCCGTACCTAGCCCAAAATGATGGCACCTTGATCTGACAACCTTGTTGACACAAAACAAAAGCACCAGAAAGTAAAAATATGGAAAATAAAACAATCATGATTACTAGCCTAGTTATAGGATTAAGGTGAGAGGCTTGCCTGCCTTTAATGATTAAGATAAAGCAAACGATACATATGAGCTCTTAGAGCGCTATTTGCACATCTCGATACACGTCATCTGGACCCATTTCACGACGAGCAGACGCATATGCTGCTTGCAGGACTGTCTCGTTCGATCCAATTCTGAAACAAAATGAAAATCTCATGAGTTTATAGGTGGTAGTAAACACTGGCCTTGATGAACATCAATAAAAGGGAAAAAATCAAACTAATTCAGGCTGCGGACGACTGTCAATACCCAATTCATAGCAATCATCGGCTCATCTCATTCCTGCCGTGCCACCAAAGAAAAATCACGCGCTCGATGTTTGTGTAAGGCGGACAGTGGTAGTGGAAAAGGTCCTCCTATGGCTGGCGTATCTCACCTAATGATGGACGCAGCGCTCTCGTTCTTCACTATGGGGCCCGAAAATGGGGCAACTTCTGGGACTGCCGATCGGACTACCTGCACCCTGTTGAGATTCAGGCTATCAGATAAAGGGGAACGTGCCTTTAAAATACATCCCACGATTACCAGATTCGCAGAATCCATTCCTTTGTACAAGTGGTTTGCCCACAAGCTCTGAGATTTTCCTCCTTTTCGGCTCCCCAGCGAGCGACGAAGGTGCTGCGGGTATGAGAGAAGTGAGTCCTAATTCGCCGCACTGACGATACGCGCGAAAATTACCATGTTTCGAGGTCATAGATGACGGGAGAAGCTAATATATACCCAAAAATAGCCATAAATCTCCACGATGTCGTAACTTACACGGATTCGGTGCTCCAATCGACAGGCTTATCCAAACTAGGGAAGCGCAGCTCCACCGCAGCAAGCAACAGAGCGGCAAATTACGATTAAATTGACCGTCTTCCGGGCTGTTAGCATCCGAAGGACTGCCATCCGTAGAAGTTGCTTACCATTCTGTGGTTGAAATATGCCAACGGTTTCAAATCTATATGTATAAGCACCACTATATGACACGTTGCATTAACTTCTCTAAAGGACCCCAAGTAATCTGTATGAGACTACCTCTACCGTACCTCTCGTCTGTCTTCTTTCTAATCCCGAAATAACTCAAACCCATTTATTTGAAAAGTTTATATTAACCTATAAAGATTAATCCCCATAGAAATGCTTAGCAACGGGTCGGTTAGAGGTAATTACCTCACAAAAGCAATAGTGCTCCATTTTAACGACTATTTCAAAAAAAAGCGAGTCCAATAAAATATCTCAAAATCGTCGAAAAGTTGAATAAAAATAGAAAATAAAGAAAAGATACGCACTTGAGTGAGCGATCAACTCCAAACGGCTTGAGGTGATAGATCAAATATTCAAGCGCATACATGAGGTTCGAGTTGACATAGTGGAAAGAAATGGCGTAATCTGAAAGGC